AAGAGCCTTCGGCAACCGGCAAAGAAAGACCGTTCTGAGTAGCAGTAACAACGCTCATAGCAAGCAAGAAAGATGGGGTAAATGGGCCGGAAAGACAAGTTTATAGAGTCGGAGAGCTAGTAGAGCTCATAGGTTTCTACCTGTGACTAACTTAGTGTGCTTTTGGTAGCTGCTGCCATACCAACAATCTATTTTTCGTAAATAAGCACTAGCATTACGGTGCGAGATCTGCCAAGCTAAGCTCAATCACAACCCACCGGCTCAAACAAAGGCTGGATCGGTTCACTGAACGCCAACAAAATATAGCAAGTCCTCTAGCAAGCCAATTCCTTTCTTCATCGCCTTCGACAGCTAATCACTATCGTACTCTCGGTACTTACTATTTGAGTACTGGTATTGGATTCTCCTTCAGCGGAAAGATGGAATTGACCATGCACACTGACTCCTATTCAAGATATGGATACTAGACTGTCCTGCATATGAGACGGATTGTTCTTCTAGCCTACATCGACGGGACTCAACTCCTTACTCTCTTCCTTCTATACCTATTTGAAAGTCAGGAATAGCAGACTTGTTCACCTATTTCCTTACTAGAGCAGATACTTGAGGACATAATGCAGCCCGTGTTACTGGTGTGTGAAAGGATAAGCGGTAGTGCCCCACACCCGTGATGCACTTCCTTGCTTTCAGGTATATCTCCAGATAGATAGGGTTTTCTCTCTTGTTTAGTGCTTCTCACTCTTTCCTCTCAAACGGCGATACCTTAGCAGCATTTGGCCCATCCCAGAGTGAAACTCCCTAACCAGATTCCGAAACTAAATGAAGAAGAACTCCTAAACGCAGAAAAGACACCTGCGACTGCAGCTACTTACTTGGCTTTCATCCCTCCTTATACTTATTCATGAGGCTTCACTTGGCATAGATGCCAGGGCCTTGTTCTGACTTCCGAGACTCATCTATCCTATTACTGAGAAAATTCCCTACTTGGAGTGAGAATCCCTTTATCCCGAAGCAGCGGCAGAAGCGGTTTGATCTCTTACCTTTTGCTCATATCCCAGAGACTCGTCTGCAGTTAGTTTCTCATTCGAATATGAATAATCAACAAGGGCACCTTCTCTCTTTACCTTTACTGGCTTTAATGACACTGCAGGGGACGCAGCAACAGACTCTTTCCCCTCAATCGCCGGGGGCTATTATCCGCTCACTCCCTTGCTTTCAGAGAACTCCCCCAGTTATAGATAGATAGTCAAAAGGGGCTTTCTTACTCACAGGATTTCAGGATACTCGTTAATGCCTCACTCCCTTCTTCTACTTCTGACATTCTACTTGAAAGTCTGATATCCGATAAACTAGGTTTAGCTTGAATGTCTTAGTTCACATACTCTACAGGATTTCTTCTTTACTAGAACTCTTTTCTCATGACGTGGTTGGGAACGTTGTGTCATCTGTTCGTTTCGATTCAAAAAGTTTAACTTCGAACTAACCGGGAAAGCAGAAGCGGAACATACTTATATAATTAAGGTACTTCCTTACTTAGAGTGAGAATACTCTTTATATGGCACTTATCCCATCCGAGTACTTACTTGACTTACTTTACTGAAACAGCCTAAGCACCTTTCCCCGGGATTCTTCATAAAACCAGCTTCAGCAGCAAAGACTTCTACTTGAGGACAGTCTACCTTTGGTGGTGTGAGATGCTATTCTTTTATACGGTGGTGTGAGATGTCATTAGACTTTATCATATTCATTTGAATTGAGCGTATTGTAAGACTAATATGGCAAGTCAACCGAGCGTGGGGAACGAACGAGCGTGGGGGTGAGATGCATGCAATTGAAGCAGCTACCTGAAAAGCTGGGTTTGATTCCCTTAGATACCTTTGGGTTTAGCCTTGAGGAAAGACAGCATATACCAAGAAAGAAGAGGTTGGAGGGCTTGACAGAGATGCGCGGGATGCTCCGGAATGAGCCTCAACAGAAAAGAAGGAAACTTCCCTATCTAGTTCAAGTCCTAAAACAACGGATATTGGAGAAGCTGAACGAGAAGAAATAGCCATATCCCTAGGGGCACCTTCGATCGATACTGCCTTAGACCCTGCCCTTGGTCCTAAACCTGCTTACGCTGGAGAAGCCCTTACTTCTTCAGCTTGAAAGACATCTCAGGAAAGAGCTACTTCAACTGAAGAAATTTATTTAGTAGCGAGAACCCTTCCTACTCGAGAATAAGGTCAGGAAGTGAAGCGTTTTTTCAGTTTTTCTTGAAAAATATAGTAAGTGTTATGCGGGGGTGGGGATTCATACCGATGAGGGGCGTAGGAATTGCCCTTAACTGTCCGGAAGGCTGAAATAGCTTTCTCGGGAGCCTCCGGGAGGTCGGGGTATTCAATCCCAGGATACTCAAGGAGCAGGGCGTCGTATCCCAGGGGTTCTACTAATACATCGTATAGCGGGTCCAGGCTTGAATTTGACCCCCCTCAAAAAGGGGTGTGGACACACTTGCGCGAATTGACTAATGTCTCGCGTATTTTAACATACGACTCTGAATTTGACCCCCCTCGTCTTCACACAGGGCACATCTTAATCTGCTGCAATAAATAACTCCTATGCAGATGGGGCTGGAGATCCGCTCCTGCTCTGCGTGTAAAGTAAGACAATGAAAAAAAAGGCTTCGCTTTGTTGCGACTGCCGCCGTCTTCGAGTGAAATATCGTTTTAGTAGTCCCGGTAATGGAGTCTTTCGAGATAAGACTGAGGCTTATTTTTTCTTCGTCGTACGTGACTTTGTCTCAACCGGTAGAAAAGAAGTTAGAAAGAGGAATTGACCTCGAAACTATATATATGAAGGGGCATGTTCAACTTCAAAGACCGGTGTCGCATAATCAGACTGAATGAAAGTTAGAATCACTGACAAAGTACTTTGGTCTCTATTTGTCGCTACACAACGAATATTTAGTCTCAAGCTTCCTGGAGATACTGGATAATTAGGAACTGCGTATCGCCTAGCAGCTAAAGTACTTGGTGAATTAATAAAACCAGTGATGCTGATAAGCGCTTACACTTTTTTTAGAATATAGCAAATAGTCTGATTTCTTTCCATATTGCCTATCAACTGACTAAGATTCCATACCTATCCTGGATTTGAACCTAACTTCTCAACAGACTTAGTAGAGTTCACGACCCTTGCCACTATGACTCCAAGAAAGTTTACGAGGTCAGTGAGCAGTGTCGGGCTTTCTTTTACCTCCTTTGCCCATTAGTCCGTAGTTAGGGCTTCTTAAGACAAAAGAGACTGATACAATTGCATAAGTAGTAAGGAATAGTTTGATAAGAACCAGAGCGGATAGATGGCAAGTAAGACAGTCACAGCAGGGCTATAACCAGCAACCTTCGGTTGATTCATTGAAGTTTAGAGTCAGTGTCTTTCTATCGAATCTGAGTTACCGGCTCTCATTTGAAAGACCGTCCCTATGACATGGTCTTAAAGCATAGTTTGGACTGCCCTAAACTTTAAAGTCTTTGTAAAGGATGAAGTTTCCTATTTCCTCGCCTATCCCTGCCTTTGACCTCGCACCGATGGCTATTGCCAGCTAACGCCCTAAGTTAATAAAAAGCAGCTGAAAGAGAATCCTAAGCATGATGTCTATCGCAGGGCCTTCAGTTCGTTCGCCTTTTAGCCCTTTTATCTATTATGAGACTACCTTCGCGCCTAAGCTCTTCAATTAGCATTCTTATTCTTTCTGTCACCTGCTGGAATATTCGACACGCGAGGAATAGCGTGAAAGGACTCTAAACGACTGGACAAGACAAACTGAGGCTTATTGCTCAATGGAAAGTGAACTACACAAGACGAAATCATAGCCCAATCTCTTTGCCATAGTAGGCCCGATTTTCACCCCCTTTGGCAAGACGAAGAGGGACAAGAGGTTATTCATAGTAAAGATATGGAGAAAGACAGACAGTCGGTCCATCCCCGACTCCTTAAGTGCAGATGAGGCGCGAAGCGGCGAAGCAAGTGAATGCTAACTTTGGTAAGGTATGGAGTCGCTAGTCATTCGATATTCTTTTCGCGACAGGGAGAATTCATTCTTCTTTGGATGGACCAACCCAAACCCTAGAAGGCAAAGGCTGAGAGACATCCATCTCAACACATACACGAGCAAACATGGGATGAGCCAAGGCAAGAGTGCGCTCATCTGCACGAAGGAATCGTCCAAAGGTTCCCACAAGACCTTTAAGGTATGCAGGACTCAAAAATGGCAAGGGAAGGTAGGGAAGCCGAATCCAAACAGCAGAGAGAGAGGATTCATATCTAGGATGAAAATCAGGCGACCAACGAAATAACCTAAACAAGGAGCTGTCAATAATATGAGATTCCCTAGTCCAGGCCTTAACCATATCCTCATGAGAGGAAAGGTGGATCATCACATGCCTGGGATCCAAAAGCCCCACCACCGCAGGCTGGGAAAGCCCCCAAGAGGTATTAGAGAAAAAGTAAAAAAGTCAACGTTGCATCTGCTTGTCTCATTATTGCCGAGATAATGGCCTACTTCTTCACATCCACCGCGCAATGCATGCAATTATTGATAGACAGAAGAATCATGGTATACACTTTACTTGCGTGTACTAGCTAAAGCGTTACGTATGTCTGGTGGAGATCATATTCACTCCGGTACCGTAGTAGGTAAACTTGAAGGGGCAAGAGAGACCTCTTTCAGTTCCTTTTCCCTATCTTAGAAGAGAAGGAAGGGTAGTCAGTTGGTTAACTTCCGACTCCTATACTTTCGTCAAGCAATTAGATCATTATTAAAGGTAATCTCTGTTAAGATAAAGGCAAGGGTTGGTTTTCGCTTGCTCTTTATCGCACTTGGTTATTCCTCGTAAAATGAGTTTGGGGAGGGACTTAAAAGTGAATGCGATCCATTCTTTGCCTTTATCTTAACCTTAGCAGTTTTGCGGCTTCATTAGTGATGGAAGTTAACAGAGATTGACCCCCCTCAAAATTGACTAATAGGAAAATAGAATTGTTAGAATTTTCATCTTCATATCTATATAAATTCTAATAATGGAAGTTAAACGATCCTCTTCGGATAATTCGTCCAATCCAAGAATAGCTATAATATCTTGAAGTTCTTTGTAACGTTGTAAAGTTTGCTTAACCTCTTGTGCAGTGTCATAATGTTCTTCACCAACGATCCGGGGTTGTAGCATAGTTGACGTTGAATCTAAAGGATCTACTGTTGGATAGATACCTTTGGCGGCTAATCCCCTTGATAGTACGGTAGTAGCATCTAAATGTGCAAATGTCGTAGCAGGAGCAGGGTCGGCCAAATCATCTGCAGGTACATAAACAGCTTGAATAGAAGTTATGGACCCTTCTTTGGTAGAAGTAATTCTTTCTTGTAAAGAACCCATTTCGGTACTAAGGGTAGGTTGATAACCCACAGCGGAAGGCATTCTACCCAACAAGGCGGATACTTCAGATCCTGCTTGGACAAAACGGAAGATATTGTCAATAAATAAAAGTACATCTTGTTCATTAACATCTCGGAAATATTCCGCCATAGTTAGGGCAGTCAAACCAACTCTCATACGAGCTCCCGGCGGTTCATTCATCTGACCGTAAACTAGAGCTACTTTGATTCTGGAATATTTTTTTCATTAATTACTCCAGATTCTTTCATTTCCATGTAAAGATCATTTCCTTCACGAGTCCGTTCACCGACTACGCCAAATACAGATACGCCTCCGTGAGCTTTGGCAATATTGTTAATCAATTCCATAATGAGTACTGTTTTACCCACGCCAGCTCCCCCGAATAGTCCGATTTTTCCTCCACGGCGATAAGGGGCTAAAAGATCTACTACTTTAATTCCGGTTTCAAAAATAGATAATTTTGTATCTAACTGTATAAAGGCAGGCGCAGATCTATGAATAGGAAATGTTGTACTAGTATCTACAGGACCTAAATTATCAACAGGCTCGCCAAGCACGTTGAAAATTCGTCCGAGAGTCGCTCCACCGACCAGAACACTTAGTGGAGCTCCCGTATCAATTACGTCCATCCCTCTCGTTAGACCATCTGTAGCACTCATAGCTACGGCCCTAACTCGATTGTTTCCTAATAATTGCTGTACCTCACAAGTCACATTAATTGGTTGACCAGCAGTATCTCGACCCTTAACTACCAGAGCGTTATAAATATTAGGCATTTTGCCTGGCGGAAAGGCTACATCTAGTACCGGACCAATGATTTGGGCGATACGCCCCAGTGTCTTTTTGTCAAGCGTGGTAACCCCAGAACCAGAAGTAGTAGGATTCATTCTCATATTCATAATATAACAATAAAGTAAAAAATCTCGAAATTTTTTGCGAACAGGATCGCATTCAAAATAAATCTCCGATGTCAAGTTGATCGGTTAATTCAAAAGAAATGAGAGTTAGCACACGATTTTGTTAGTACCATCCAACCGAATCCAATTTAATTGTTTACTTATTCAATTTCAATGAGTTAATTTTCAAGTTCAACCAACCCATTTTCAAATAAAAAGTAGATGAATAAGAATCTTGAGAAAATCTTTCATTTGTCTATCATTATAGACAATCCCATCTATATTATCTATGGAATTCGAACCTGAACTCTATTTACGATTCAGTATTTCTATATAATCGGCTCTTATTATTTCTATTCATTTAGGTATATCCTGTTGTTCTTTTTTTTTTTTTTTACCTTCTCATAGAAAAATTCCACATATTTTCACATCTAGGATTTACATATACAACATCACTTACAACATATATCACTGTCAAGAGGGAATTTCTTAGTATTTGGGTGATTTTTAGTTATTTCGATTCAAAAAATAAATAAATAAGAATTGGGTTGCGCCATATATATGAAAGAGTATACAATAATGATGTATTTGCCGAATCAAATACCATGGTCTAATAATCAAGCATTCTGATTAGTTGATAATTTTACTATTAGTTGGGAATTTTGTGAAAGGTTCCTGTAAAAAGTTTCATTAACGCCTAATTCATGTCGAGTAGACCTTGTTGTTGTGAGAATTCTTAATTCATGAGTTGTAGGGAGGGATTTATGTCACCACAAACAGAGACTAAAGCAAGTGTTGGATTCAAAGCTGGTGTTAAAGATTATAAATTGACTTATTATACTCCTGAGTATGAAACCAAGGATACTGATATTTTGGCAGCATTTCGAGTAACTCCTCAACCTGGAGTTCCGCCTGAAGAAGCAGGGGCCGCAGTAGCTGCCGAATCTTCTACTGGTACATGGACAACTGTGTGGACCGATGGACTTACGAGCCTTGATCGTTACAAAGGGCGATGCTATGGAATCGAGCCTGTTCCTGGAGAAGAAAATCAATATATTGCTTATGTAGCTTACCCATTAGACCTTTTTGAAGAAGGTTCTGTTACTAACATGTTTACTTCCATTGTAGGTAATGTATTTGGGTTCAAAGCCCTGCGTGCTCTACGTCTGGAAGATTTGCGAATCCCTACGACATTAGTGATAAAGAATTAGCAGGGGTTCCGTGGAGAGCACTGTCGGACTTAGCACTTAGTGATAAAGAATTAGCAAAAGTTGATACGAGTTCTGGGCCGATGAGCGATATGTAATCCTAGGATTAGAACTATGCTTTACTACTTCCATATAGTAGTTAGATCTTTTCTATTTTTTATATTTTAGGTCTTTTGGCTAGTCTTCATTTCCCTTTCTTCTCTTTTTTCAATATGGATAGCAAGAGGCCTACATGGAAGGAAGGAAAGATGGAAGGAGAGAAGGACTGAACGACAAAAGGAAAGACCTCTTGCGCGAATTCTTTATCAGTATGCTTAGGAAGCAAGGTTTTTAGGGCCTGGAAGGAGGAAGAGATACCCTTTCCGCCTAACCATTGTCTAGACGTCTAAAAACCTTGCTTCCTAAGCATACTGATAAAGATGTAGCAGGGGTTCCGTGGAGAGATTTGTGTCCACACCGAATTCGCGCAATTGTGTCCACACCCCCCAAACTGACTTGACGTCTAGACAATGGTTAGGTGTGGACACACTTGCGCGTTGGTTAAGTATCTCATTCCACAAAAGTTGCACAAATCTCTTAAGACATGAGAATAGGAAGGCGTATACCTTACGTACTTTTTATTAGCCGGTGTGTTGATGATCCTCGTGTTATAATTTCTATCTATTAGTTGATGATCGAGCTCTTTATGATTGAATGAAGTGAAAGATCAAACTCAAAGGGCTCTCCCTTTATCGTCATCGTCGCTATCATAGTTGCTATCATCGTCGCTAAAGCTCCTCCACTTTCCTCCTTCCTTTGCTAACGCTCCTCCCTTTGACCAAAAACACAAAAGACGGTGCATGAGGGAGAGAAAGATGTTGCTCTCATACCAGATGCTTTGAGCAAACTAGCCTATCTCTCGGCAGGATGGTGTGCCCAAACTGTCATTTCATTCGAGGCGGGATCGGAGTAAGGGGCGAAGTCTCGAGCATCGGTACTCGCAGCCTTTAGGTTTAGGTAATCGTCAGATTTCCAAAGCCGACAGGCCTTCACGCCCCGACCCTCAGATGCGGGGTTCACTGAGCAAAGGAGTCGGCAGATGTTACATTTTTTTAGACTCCACCTTCGCGAAACTACTAAAGAGAAGGCTAACAGTCTTTAGCGCAGCTTATTAGGGATTTCCCAACGGAAAGGCTTTGTCGAACCCTCTTACGTTAACCTACCTTCTTGCCAGCGAAATAAAATTTGAGGTCGCGCATTCAATGACTGCTCTAGAGCCGACTTATTCGGGCATTTCCAACGCTGTGAATAGAAAGAGATTTTTCAGTTTCCTATTAGTCAATTATGTCGTAGTACCCGACCAGGGGGATCGATAAGGGGAAGCTCTTCCTCCTTCCAGGCCCTAAAAAACTTGCTTCCTAAGCATACTGATAAAGAATTAGTGATAAAGAATTAGCAGAGTCTGCCGTCTCCACGGCTTTCCTATTAGTCAATCCAGCATAGATATCATGAACTCAAAATTGACTAATGTCTCGCTCGTTATAGGACTTGACCAAACATTTCGCGATCTTGCGAATCCCTACTTACACATACATATGAAGTATTTAATATAAATTACGTGCTATGTGTGCATATTATTTGTGTTCATGATATCTATGCTGGATGAACGATTTATACATGTTTTAAATGATTTAAACTGTATACGTATTTTATATCTACGAATATGTAACATTCTGTTTAAAATAGAATAATTAAATAATAAACCCGGAACCCTGAGACGTAATTTTTATTATTATTTTATATTATTGTAGCTAAAATCAAATAATAATTAGTGGGGTATTGGCTTCGGGGAGCCAAATGACAAGATTTGAATCTTCGGGGGGTTAAAGTGTAATTCCGGGATTTATTTTGTAAAGATTTTTAGAGGTCAGGGGGTGTTTGGTATCATTTGGACTTATTATGAAAGGATTTATGGAAGCAGGGGCTAAAGAGTAATTTTTGGACCTAAGTTGAAAAGGTTTTGTAGATGAGGGGCCATTTGGTAACATTTGGATTTAATTTGAAAGAAAAAGGAGAAGCAGGGACTAAATGTGTCATTATGGATCAATGTTTGAATGGGACGGGACTTATAAACCCGTCACCATGTAACCCTAACCCTAGCTCTAACTTCAGCCACCACCTTTCTTTCTCCATTGTCCAGCCGCCACCACCCGACCCCCCTTGCTGTTCCGATCAACCAAGGTCACCGGCGGACCATTGTTGCCGATGAAGCTAGCCTCACACGTCCCTATTGCCGGTGATAGCAAAGACCGTCGGAGAACCACCGCCACTTGAATGTCGCTATCGCCGCTGTCGTGTTCCGGTGGAGGCGCAACCTCCATTCCCCGCTGCGGCAGCCTTCTCCTCCTACTTCCGCTCCGTCCCACAACCGTTAATTGCATCCGCCCACTGCCGCCGTCGCCCATCGCAACTGTTTCTTTTGCAGGTCATCTCTGGTCGTGGTTTCCATCAATAAGGGTGGTCGCGGACGTCGCTGCCGTTATCCCGGTTGGAGACCGAGAACCTTCCTCTTCTCCACCCCTTTCTGTTGATGCGCTATTGTCGTCGCCGCTCCGTGTGGATGTGGAGTGTTGTTGCCACCGATAGCCGTTGTTACTGCTCGCTACTCCGAGTCGCCGCCGCCGCAGTACGCCACCAGGTGGGTGGCTGAGTTTATTTTGCAAACAGAAAGCATGTGTGTGTAGTCGTTTGTTGGCCGGAAACTGAGAAGATAACCACCATGGCCGCCAGCCATGGTGGCTGCCGCCTTCTGCCGCCACCAGCCACCGTGAGAGGTGGCTGTGTATGTGAAATGGTGCTATATGCGTGTCTATTTTAGTTGAAGTGGTGTTTGGGTGTTTCTTGGCCGGATTTCACGAGAAAAGCCACCACCATCACCACCGTGAGGTGGTGGCTGCCACCTCCAACCACCGTCTGCCGCCACAAGGGTGGCTGGGTGTGTGTGTATGTGTTATTTGTGTGTGTGACTTCCTTTGGATATTTCGTTGTAAAATTGTATTTTGACCGGAATAATTAAGGAAATTCGTCACCACCACCGTAAGCCGCCATTAACCACCACTACCCGAGGTGGTAGTGGGTGGTGCCCAACTTAATTAATAATTAATTAACCTAAAAACCTAACCATTTGACTAATTGGCACACAATTGGGTTGGAAACCCTAACTAGGGTTTAGAAAACCCTAATTTTGGGAATGCGAATTTTGGATTTGTCGGGACCCGCGTTTGGACCATTGGATTTGGAATTTTGAGTTACACCCGACCACATTGTATGTTTGGACTAGTGGAGTGATGGACTTAATGGATTAAGTTCTTAATGGGTTAAGTAGGAACACTTAACCCTAATCGTCATTTTATGTGAAAAACCCTAATTGGGTTTGGGTTCTTGTTGGGCCATTTCTTGGGCTGGGTTGCTATGGGCCTTCGTGGGCCAAATGGAAACATGTTTATGGACTAAGGAAATTATTGGGCTTTAGGATAAGGCCCATTGGAAAGGCTTGGGCCTAATTTGGAAAACTGGGCCATAAGTGGGACATAATTGGGCCCTGATGATTATGAGGTATTGGGCCATCAGAATGCCAATTTTTTGGACTAGAATAAATGGTTGGGCCTTAAGATAAGTCCATGTAGATTTTTGGGACCAATTTGGAAAATTGGGCCATATGTTGGGCCTTGGTTGATTATTGGGATTTTGGGCCTTCAGAGTGTAAGTTTGGGCCTTGGTTTTGAACCAAGCTAGGTTAGGGGTAAAATGGTCCATTTACCCCAAGTGTAGATTTATGGTTATGTATTGAAACCCAATTATTAATTGGGTGTCGTTTTGATGATTAACACTTCGGGAATCTGTCAACCAGCAGCTAGCGATTTATTAGTGGGACTTCAACAGTGCGAGGTGAGTCTCCCCACCATACCAATGGGTCTAAGGCACCAAGGCCGACCCATTTATCTAGTTGTGATGATTATTGCAGATGTGCTATTGATACATTATGTATTTATGTGAAGACCATGCGGGGGTTCCCATGACAATTAGTTATATGTGGTATGCTAGTTGATTGTGTGGTACTTGGTATGCTAGTTGTCTTTGTGATACTTGCATGGAAGACCCCGGGGGGTTCCCGAGGCAGTTGGATATAAGACTATGTGGGGGTTCCCATGGCATCCGGGGTAAGACCGTGGAGGGTTTCCATGGCACCTTTATATGTTTGTATTTATGGCTTATAGGATTTGTATATGCATACTGTTAGTTGATTTTGTGTTATGTTGGTATGAATTTTGTATGGAAGATCCCGGGGGGTTCTCGAGGCAGTTGGATATAAGACCATGTGGGGTTCCTATGGCATTCCAGGCTAAGACCATGTGGGGGTTCCCATGACAGAGGGCTAAGACCATGAGGGGGCTCCTATGGCACCCGTAGTAAGACCTTGGAGGGTTTCCATGGCTTCCTTATATGCTGATATGCATAGCTTATGTTGCTTATGTGATTGATATGACCTATGTGATTGATATGGTTTATGCAGTTATGTGGATTATGTGGGGTATGCTCTAGGGAATTCACTAAGCTTCGTGCTTACAGTTTTGTTTATGGTTTTAGGTATCATTGGTTTGGAAAGGAAGGGACCGGCTTGATCGCAGTGCACACACCCGTGTTTTCCGCTTTATATGATTTTGGGACGTAAATTTGATAAACGTTTTAATTAAGTAATGTTTTGAATGATTGGATGAAGTAACATTTGTGTTTGACTATAATAAAAAAATGAAATATTTACCCTTGATTTTTGGGTCGTTACAAGTTGGTATCAAAGCCTTGGTTTGAGGGATTCAAACATACGTTTGGGTGTGCCTGAACTCAAACTGATGATCTGTAAAGTTTTCAAAAAGAAAAAAATGTTTTCAATGAAAAAGTTTTCTAAGACAAGAAAGGGTGTGGTGCATGCAATCAGTCGAGCTCAAGTAAGTTTCCCCAGAATA